GGATACTTCAAAGGAGCCAAAGGGCTTAGACAGGGGGATCCACTCTCCCCTTTACTCTTTGTATTAATCATGGAATATTTAACTAGGAGTTTCAAAATGGCTACGTAAAGGAATGGACTTCAATATCACCCTATGTGTGGGCAATTGAAGATAGTAAATATGTGTTTTGCTGATGACCTCATAGTGGTGGGGAAAGCTGATAAGAAAACCATTATGTGTATTATGGGGGTACTCGAGAACTTTAGGATGGAAACAAGACTGAACATCAATAAAAACAAGTCCCAAATAGTGTTTGGAGAAGTGAATCAGCAGATCAGAGAGGAATTGATATGTATGTTTGGTATGAAATTGGGTAGGCTACCATTCACATACCTGGGGAGCCCTATAACCACATCTAAACTGAAACAGGCTGATTGTGATACTCTTATTAACAAACTGACTAGTAGGATCACAGTGTGGGGAACAAGGAACCTATCTTACATGGCCAGGGTAAGGATCATAAATTCAACTCTTATGGGAATCATCTCTTTTTGGGCTAGAATATTCATCCTACCTAAGTAGGTTGTAAAGAGAGTAATGGCTATCTGTAGAAACTTCCTATGGGAAAGCACTGCTGAATACAAGAAGGTGCCTCTGGTAAACTGGGGGGAGGTCTGCCAAGAAAAGAAATATGGAGGATTGGGCGTAAAGAATATATCCAACTAGAACAAAGCTATAATCATGAAACTGAACTGGGATGTGGCTGAAAAGAAGGATATTTTGTTGGTGAAATGGATCCATAGTAAATATATTAAATGGGCAGATTTTTTGGGGGTACATACCTAGACATGATGTTTGTCACTACTAGAGGGAAATGACAAGAGTCAAGGATACCTTTAGTTGGATGCCAAGAGAGAAACCATACAGTGCTAAGGATGGATACAGATGGCTACAACGAGAAAAGGAGAAACCAAAATGGCATGAGTACGTATGGAACAAATACACTCCTCCTAAATTCAAATTTATGACCTGGCTGCTAATGAAAAGGAGGTTACAAAACAAAGTAAGGATGTGCAAGTACATAAATATTGAAACTGAGTGCGTGTTGTGTGGTGATGAAACTGAAACAGATGATCATCTCTTTTGGGAATGTGAAGCAGCACAGAAAATCCTCAATACCTGTCTCATTATGTTTAACTTACAATTCAAAATGACTAAGCTACAGATATGGAAGAGTATGGGCAGCGGCTAAGGGTGTTCAAAAACAGGTCTGGACCGGATTTTGGACCTGAACCGGACCAGAATGGACCAGTCCGGACCGGTCCGGAACATTCAGGTCCGGTCCTCGGGTTTTACAAATTAGGGATTCCGGGTTTCCGGTCTGGTCCGGGTTTGACCCGGAATTTTCCGGTCCAGACCGGAATATATTATATAAATTGTATCCATTATTAATTTCAAGCCCAAAAGCATTAGATCCGGTCCATATAGTTTTAGATTCATGAATTTCAATTTTCCAATATGTAGTTTTTAGAAATTTTAATTTAGATTATTATTTTTACGGTAGTTTATAAATTTGAATAACTTATAAAATGAGTTTTGATGAATTTGTTGCTACTACTTATAAGTACTATTTTTATTAAATACTTTGAACAAAAACAATTTATTATTTCAATTTTTTTCTAAATTTATTTAATAATTTAATTCATTTATAAGATTGCAAAAAAATATATAAAAAAAATTCCAGTCTAAAGTAGGGTAAAACCGGACCGGACCGGAAAAAACAGGTCCGGACCGGACCGGTCCTAAAGAAATTGCAATTCCGGTTCCAGTCCTAACCGGTTCCGGTCCGGTCCGGTCCGGTTTTGGACCGGTGCACACCCCTAGCAGCGGCTCACAACGAGAAGGAGGAAGACACAGTTATGGGCTGTCTAGGCTGGATGCATTTACAGCATATGGAGAATGAGGAACAAATTGATACACCAAAAGCTTGTTCTATAGAGGAGGCAATTGAATTTGTTCGATATTACATTAGTAACTTCCTTTCTTATAGATGTATGGTGTGATGTGTTGAGAATACTAATGTATATGGTTGGTTGAAGAAGTAATATGAAATGTGTGTTTTCTGTGCAAAAAAAAATGTACGAAACGTCAAAAATCGCGCTACTCGCAAATCAAAAGGGAAGTTTGATGCATCGTTTTGATTTAACTATCATTTTGAAAGTTAATTTGAAATGAATTGGGTTGAAGTTTTGAAATGAATGGCATTAAATGAATGAGCATGTCTATTAAGAAGGAATAAGTTCAATAATATTCTGTGACTATAACCACATGTTTCACGGAAAGTGTCCAAAACCAAAATAAGAAAAATAAGCATGTAAACCCTATGTTATAAGTTCTTTTCTTTAGTTTTCTTTTGTCACAATTTTTTATGATTTGCATGGCAGTAAAATTTGAAATGAATTTGTATGGCTGTAAATGGTTGAATCGTTGTCCCTAATTTGGTCACCATTAAGTACCGTAGAAGATATGCATTAGTTTCCACTTTATGGATTAGGCCTCTTCGGTGATATGCTTTGGTGACATTGAAATATTGTTGCATTCTCCCCACTAAAGTCTTGATAATCCTTTACACTATGGTTTACAAATTTGATCAAGTGATATGACATAGATGGAGAGTACTGACAGTCGTAGTTTTTCGGGTAGTAAACCTTCCCAATAAGGGTTAGTTTTCTCTACGAGTGTCCTGTCTCACGAGGAGTGGACGAAGGGAATTAGTTTAATTACTCTAACTAGGCGTAGGTTAGGATTGGTTTATAAAAGTCTTCTCGGAACGAATAAAAAGGGAGCAGAGTTAAAATAATAAATAAATTTCACATAGTATAAGTATAGATCTGGACCTAGGGTCAGGACATCATTTGGATCTATTTTATTAAATTAACAATTGGAATAATAATATTTCTATTACTACTCATCCATTTCTAGATTTGTACTTAACCCGTTGCACTTGAATATCATACCCTTTTGGTATACAATATCTTCTCAATAAATAGCTAATTAAACCTTTCGAGAATAATTAACTAAATAAGGCAAGAACAATAGACTAACCATTCCAGCATTAATTTAACATAAATAACAACCAAACTAGTCTGGACCCAGGAATCCGGATCCTAACTCATACTATGCAAACATAAATTAAAACAACATTTTATTAAATAGAAGAAACTTACAACTTCCGTACAAGCGGATTTGAACAGATCGGGGGTAGAATTCCTCCAAAAATTATTCTAAAACTACTATAATGATAAACTAGAACTAGGAACTGAAGTATAAGGTGCTAATCCCGAGAATGGGAGTGAAAGTGATGGATGGAATGAGGTGGATCGCGCTGTATTTATAGGACAGAGGCCGAGGCGTCCAGATCGGAACGCTTGAGCTGCTCCGGCCAACCAGGTTTTGCCACGTGTCTTCCTTGGTCTGCAATCCAGCCAAGGCGTCCAACTCCCAAGCGTCCAAGTTGGACGCCTTAGGCCCTGGTTCGATTGGGCTTCACGGTTGATGCGAGATCTTGGCCCAATTTCACTGCTTTTCGGCCCGAACGTCGATTTTACCCTCCCAGAAGCTCGTTCAGGCCCGAATCTTGATCCTTTGATGATTTATTCCCTTTTTCTCAAGTATTTGAACATAAAATGGATGATTTATGATGATTTCATGTGGAATCCCTTTTTATGACTCTTAGAGCGAAACTGAGAGTTTTATTGATTAAAAACACATTTCATGAGATGATTAAATACTTATTTACGTGCAATAACATTTAGAATATGATGTAAATGATAAGAACGAAACGGACTTATCAAATTCCTCACACTTAAACGTTGTTTGCCCTCAAGCAACAAATTGAATAATTACAAGTATAAAGGCAAATTAATAATTACAGAGGGAAGGTTTAAGCTACATATTATGAAGGAAAGAAGAAATAAGATAGTCATCAACCTTTTTGTTAAGAAGAAATGAACCTTTAGATTCTCACCCATATTGTTAGAAATGTCAAAGAATTTTGTCAAACCAATATTTTTACACCAACCTAAACAACCAAAATTTTTCAAACTTTCTTTGGGATAACTACATTTGTAAGAGTACTTTAAAGATCAAATAATTTTCTTATTGGCTAAATTGGAAAACATGTTCTTGCAAAAGTATTTGTCAAAGTGTAAGGGTTTAATTTTCTTTGGCATAACTTTGTCATGTTGACACGAGAAAAATTTATAACCTCATCCCGTGACATAGAACCACGAGCTTTTTGGATATTCACTCTGGAAAGTCTCATCACACGACATAGAACCACATGTTTTTTGACTCTAACACTCAAAACGCCTCATCACGCAATATAAAACCGCGTGCTTTTTGGCATACTCACCAAGCCTCATCAATTGACATAGAACCAATTGCTTTTTGGCTAAAACAAGAATCTCGATCTCACCAAAGCATACTTTGAAATCTCACCCCTTATACCTTGAAAATAACTCTTTTCAAGAAACAACAGATACTCCCAAAAGCACCAGCAAAAAGATTTTCAATAAAGCACTTAAAAATTGATTGATCTAAAAAAACTCTTAATAAATTGTGATTTTATCCCAAATCAATTTAGAGAACGTACCCAAAAGGTTAGAGTAAAAAATAGAATTTTGACAAAAAATTTTAAAACTTTCCAATTTTACGGGTGATAACTAAAGTTTTAATTAATCAAACAATTAAAATCAATGACTATTCTATAAGAACCCTTTCCCACAAATATATAGACAAAACGATTCCTACAAGATCATTTCAACCAAGAACTCCTGCCTCCCCACACTTAAACGGAACCACGCCCTCGTGGTTAAAAGTGTTTTTGAATCGGAGTTAATGGTTGAAATGCTCACATGCAATTACTAAGTTATCTCCATTCTTACAAGATTCAAAGATGAAGATTGAAATAATAGATGACGATAACATGTAAATATGAAATAATTCATAAAATATTCTCAAAAGGGTTTTAAGAGTCATAAAAAGAATAGAACTCCAAAATAAGATGATATAAATATCCAAAAATAATGTTCTGAATGTAGTAATAGGAAAATTAGGGATCTCACTATCCCTGACGTTTGCCTTGATTAGGACCCGCCTCATGCTCCGTTTTCTTTGCTCCTTGTTCCCAGATGTAGTCGAGTATTTCCTCCACCTGCCACTGCTGTGTGAGAAGAAGTGTCTCCATGCTCCTCAAACGAGAATCCACAGAATCCTGGAATGCAAACATAGCCTGCAAAAGCTCGCGAAGAGTCATAGGAATAGTATGCTGCCGTCTGGGACGTGCCTCCTTGTCTTCCTTATTGTAGGCAGTCTGGGCGAAATACCCTGTCAGTGCTCGGAACATGCTTGCAGCTTCTGGGAGAACATCGGGAACTGACATACGTAATCCCCGGGCTAGAAGCGTAACCATTGGCCCACACAAGACAAACTGGCGGTTGCAAGTAGACTGATCAAACAAGAATCGAGCCACAAAGGTTGCTAAATTGACTGGTACGCGCGCTTCCAGACTCTAGAAAAATAGCATATCTGACTCAAACGCTACGTCAGGTTCTTGAGAGCGGCCAAAATAGCTGTGAGCTAATGCATGGTGCAAAATCCTCCAAGACGGACATGCCTAGTTCCTAGCTAAGCTTGCTCCACTGTGAAATCGTCTATGCCCGTGAGCTTGCCAGAACTTCTTAACATCGAATTCCGGATCCAACTGGTCAGGCAGTCGGCAAAAGCCAGGCTCCGCATTTCATCGAGCGTGTAGAGACCAATAAACCACCCTAAGTATGCCACGGTAAGGTTCAGCAGTCGACCCATTAGAGTGAACGTGACCTTTGTGGTGGAGGTGACTTCGGCTGCTGACTTTGCCTCCTCTCCGTCATTAAAGAAGCGGAGGGAACAAAGAAACTCGATGGTGGCTTCCAGGCGGGCTGGTGCATGCAAGAACAGCAGGATCCTCCATTTTGGGTCGTACAACAACTCATCAATGTCCTGCCAGTGCCCTAGTTCATCCAGATAAACAAGGTCTAGCACCATGGGAGGTTGGAGCATCTTCGTGTTTCCCCAAGTGAGGAACTTCTTTTTCACTTCCTCTGAGTGCAAGGGGAGCTCTTCCATGTTCTGCAAGGTGCGGCGGTTTCCATGCGGAATCATCCAAGCAACATCCATCTGTAGAATAGAAAAATTAAACGAGTAAAACCTTGCCCCCAACTGGTGCGGCAAGTAAATAACAAATAAACATTAATTTAATTAACTGAATGACGGGTTGCCTCCCGTTAAGCGCTTCATTAACGTCCGTAGCTTGACACCTTAACCACTTTTTCCGCGACTTTCCGATCCGAGAGTCATAAAGTTTGGCCTTTTGACTCTCTTCTGATACCACCTTGTTTGATTTATTGCTCAATCAAGGTCCAGGATCCTTGACTCATCCCTGCGGCTTGGTGGCAACAGGATATATAGAGGAGACTTTAGATAGACGGGCGGTGGCGGAAGTCTCCTTAGTTGATCCACATCGTTGGCCTTCATAGCGATATTAAATTCTTCCTTGTCTTTAATAGGCTCACTATCCATTTGTGGCGGAATGATTATGACCGTACCTTCCCCTAAAGAAGAGTCCTCGTCGTCACTCACCAGAAGTTCATCCCAGCTCTTTAAGTTCCAACCATCCTTCGGGCAGGCATAGTCATACCCGTCAAGTAGGGAATCAAAGAAAGTATGGTCTGAATCATCAAACGAGTAATAATTTGCGCAGGTTTCTATAGACGGAGTTGGCCTTTCTATGCATGATTTTTCCTCATCTATAGGTTCCTCCTTAGACTTGTGGACATTGGAATCTTGGGGGTTTGTTGTGGGCACCTTTTCTTGAATAAGCATAAGTGGTTCTGAGTCAGGTACGACTATGTTGGTTGGGACTTGGCTAGGCAAGGGTTCAGGTAACATCACCACAGTAGCCCTAGCGAGAATTGTTATGTTCTTAGGTTTTTGTGATAATGTTAGTCTGGGTGAATTTTCTAGAACTGGGACCTGATGATTGAGTGGTTTAAGGTTGGTCTTAAGTTCTAGAGTCTCATTAGTCTCCCTTATTTGGTCTGGAGATTGGAGGGAGCGTTTAAGTTTGATAGCCTTACAGAGATCATTGACTAATTTATCAGCTTTAGCCTCAACTTCTAGTCTCTCTCTTTGAAAGTCGTCCAACATTTTCTATATCATTTCTGATCCTTCACATAATCTCCTTTCAAACACTCTTTTCTTCCGAACTGATTCAAGAAGTTTTGCTCTTTCTCAAATTGCCACCTTGTTTGCTTCAATTTGTTCTTCAGCAAACAAAGTGTAGTCACGGGAGTAAGGTGGTTCGTACCAGGAGCCTTCCGCGAATAAAACCTCGTCGAGATAGAAGATTTTCTGTTCTAATCTTATTATTTCTTCGACGAGCGGATCAGATTGATTGTCGTGCATTGGCCCATATTGGTCATAGTCATTGTGGTCACCACGAGGTTCATAATAATTATCCCCGTCAGAATCTTGGTATGGAGAATATCCAAAGTTTCTAGACGGGGTATCATATGGTGGTTCCTCATGGTAAGGATAGTAGTCAGATCTATTGTTGACTTGGTAAGTATTATCATATGGGTACTGATGTGGGTGATAAGGTTGATGGGTTTGAAACGGAGGACGGTTAGGTGATTGGTAGAAAGAAGGCGATCCATAATAACCACTGGAGTTATCCATACTAATTATTATGGGTGGTTGGTGAAAAGAAGTGAGAAGATCGTTCTAACCAATCTTTACCCAAGCTAATTAAAATAAATTAAACTAATGTTGTGCCACTCCCCGGCAACGGCGCCATTTGACATTCGTAGTTTTTCGGGTAGTAAACCTTCCCAGTAAAGGGTTAGTTTTCTCTCCAAGTGTCGTGTCTCACGAGGAGTGGACGAAGGGAATTAGTTTAATTACTCTAACTAGGCGTAGGTTAGGATTGGTTTATGAAAGTCTTCTCGGAATGAATAAAAAGGGAGCAGAGTAAAAATAATAAATAAATTTCACATAGTATAACTATAGATCTGGACCTAGGGTCAGGACATCATTTGGATCTATTTTATTAAATTAACAATTGGAATAATAATATTTCTATTACTACTCATCCATTTCTAGATTTGTACTTAACCCGTTGCACTTGAATATCATACCCTTTTGGTATACAATATCTTCTCAATAAATAGCTAATTAAACCTTTCGAGAATAATTAACTAAATAAGGCAAGAACAATAGACTAACCATTCCAGCATTAATTTAAAATAAATAACAACCAAACTAGTCCGGACCCAGGAATCCGGATCCTAACTCATACTATGCAAACTTAAATTAAAACAGCATTTTATTAAATAGAAGAAACTTACAACTTCCGTGCAAGCGGATTTGAACAGATCAGGGGTAGAATTCCTCCAAAAATTATTCTAAAACTACTATAATGATAAACTAGAACTAGGAACTAAAGTATAAGGTGCTAATCCTAAGAATGGGAGTGAAAGTGATGGATGGAATGAGGTGGATCGCGCTGTATTTTTAGGACAGAGGCCGAGGCGTCTAGATCGGGACGCTTGAGCTGCTCCGGCCAACCAGGTTTTGCCACGTGTCTTCCTTGGTCTGCAATCCAGCCAAGGCGTCCAACTCCCAAGCGTCCAACTTGGCCAAGCGTCCAACTTGGACGCCTTAGGCCCTAGTTCGATTGGGCTTCGCGGCTGATGCGAGATCTAGGCCCAATTTCGCTGCTTTTCGGCCCAAACGTCGATTTTACCCTCCTAGAAGCTCGTTCAGGCCCGAATCTTGATCCTTTGATGATTTATTCCCTTTTTCTCAAATATTTGAATATAAAATGGATGATTTATGATGATTTCATGTGAAATTCCTTTTTATGACTCTTAGTGCGAAACTGAGAGTTTTATTGATTAAAAACACATTTCATGAGATGATTAAATACTTATTTACGTGCAATAACGTTTAGAATATGATGTAAATGATAAGAACTAAACAGACTTATCAAGTACCATGAGAAAAAACTCTTCTCCTAGAAAACCTCGATGGAGAAAAGTTATTTATGGAGGGATGCAACCCAGTTTCGATAACAATCATACAGACAAGCCTTTCCTATAAGACATGATTATGAATGCCAATGTTGTTAAAAGGGACTTGCTAAAGGTGATTCCTGATTCAATTGCTATTTCTCAATATATTTGCACTGTCTGTCTCATGGTTTTTGTTTGGACATATACCCTCAGATTTTCCTTGAATGAATATTCACTCTTAGTTTTGAATGTTAGCATTCTCGGATTGGGTTTCTCCATTCTTCTCTTAACTGCAAACCTGCTCTCCTTCAACATTCTTCTCAGTTACATTCTCAAGATTTTGTTTTTCATGACTAGGCTGTATATGTTGTCTCCCATCTACCAGAAACTCACCATGTCCATAACCTCAGACTCTATATGGGCACTAACAGCTTGTCGCCTCATCATAAACCTCTTCACGCACAACTACTTAGGATCCACAGTAAAAGCTTTGGGATCTCAAAAAACCCAACTCTTGTAAGAAACATATCTTTTAATGCTTTTATAATGGCTTCACTTCTAATTGCCTCTCGTCTTTCGTCAAGACTTTATCTGTTTGCAGTTGTGCTCTTCTCCTTGCAAGCTTTTCTGTTCATCCCTTTGGTCATATTCTGTGTAAAGAGGTACTCGTTGAGATTGTACCTTTGCTTTTCCTTTAGGTTAATGGTCTTGACGCTGGCTCTTGCCTACACGTTCAATTTGTGATTCTTTGATATATTGTTGGTTGTGTTTGTCTTTGTCAATTTGGTTTGCCCTTATTGGCTGATACGGATCCAAGAGTACAAGTTTGAGATCAACAGTCTCTGGGACAAAGCCAAGCTCTGTTTCACAATTACAGAATGAACATCAAAGCCTATTGCATGTTGTATTTATGATGTTATCAAGACACTTTGGAGTATTTTGTATAAGATCTGAATGAACACTATTTTGTTTTTTCTTTCCCTTCCTCAAGTAACTAGCAATGGAGTAAATCTGGCATGAGAAAATGGCATTGTAGAGCATTTTTTTTCATTTTTAACTTTGGATATTTTTTGTTGGCTAGCTCACCAAGTTACTACAAATTTTACCAAGTTTACATGGGATCGCTGTAAAAAACATTTTGTAGTTTCTAGTATTTCAACATTTTAAATGTGTTACTTGGGACCAGACCCGACCTGACCGCCTGGGTCCAAGTATAATGTAAAATGAGGTGAGAACTTATAGAGTAATTAATAAATTAATTATTGACATGCACTATTATTTTTTCTTTGAAAATACTCCGTAATAGTTTTGGTATCCAATGAGCCCAAATATGCCTTTAACAACTAGTCCCAAATTATTGTTGCTCATATAACTATCTGATGAGCCCGAAAGTGCTTATTTTTTAAGGCAAAAGATGTCGGCTACAACATTCGTGACTCGAAACAAAATGCCCGACAAGTTGGGAGATTCACCCTATACTCGCACACCGTGTAATGTGTCCATAGCTCCCAAATAATGATCACTCGTAGACGGTGAAATAGGAAGCATGCATCCTACTCTTCACCATGTGACGCCACCAACCCAAAAGTAACACCCGGAGCCCGCGATGGACTAGTTTGACACCAACAGACGCAAAGAAGAAACTCCACACTTTAAGAAACTCCACACTTTCTGTGCCATGTTCCTAGAGTAAAATATGTGGCCAATCGTCTCGCTCTCCGTTTCAACACAGCACTAACACCAAGAGGGAAAAAGCAAAACCAAATCGAGCCAGCACATCATCAGTTGGCAGACGATGCCACAACACTTACCATGTCAAAAAGGACATCTTCCACGATAAATGTTTCTGCCAGCAATTCTTAAGTGCCATGTTTCCCTCCTAGTAACTAGCGTCCACATGAGAATGTCCGCAGGAGGGGAATAAAATAAAGGGGGGTGAGTTCTGAGGAAGATTAGATCATCAGGCAAGTAACCATCCATAGTCAAGAAATTTGTTTGGAAAACCTCAACCACAAACTACGCCAGAACCCACTACATTCAGAATGCGAGCGATTTATTAATTTTTTCGAAGATTTCTTTACGGTTCTTTACCTCGTCACTTTTTTTGAACCATCAGGATAATAAATGTAGTTGAGACTTATGTATTATCCAACTTTCATTATTATACAAATAACAACTACATTAGTCAAATATTTTAGCATATAGTACCATTCTTTAAATTAAAAAAATAAAAAAAAATCAGTGTCGGTTTTCGTACCAGAATCACTACCGAAACTGCCTTTTCCAAGACCGGAACTCGTAACGTGGGCCACCGGGGATGGGGGCGGTTCCACCCTACGCCGGTACCGGTACTGGCGTGTACCTTATCCAGCACGCACTAGACGTAGGGGTAGGAATTATTAATTTTTTGAACAAAACACCGCGGAAGTCTCAAGTCATAGTATGATATTAAAAACAAGGCCACTTGAACCTCCCCAATGCAATGATTTTAAACCCCGACTGGAGGTTGACCTGCGAGGAGGACGGATCCCGGGTAAATCCGAATTTTTCCGGGTCTGTCCAGTTTTTCCCGGGATTGGGGGGTTGAACCGGACCGATTGTATGTCTTGGTCTCTGGTCCGGGTTTAATAACACTGCCTTAAAGTAAAAGCTATTTTTATGTGGAATCAAAACTTGGGTCAAAAGTGGTTTACCTGCAGCGGAATTCAAAATATTTTGTGGCAGTCACACCAATTAGCCGGCGCAGTAGTTACAAACTAAATTCCGTCAGCGCTACTCCACAGGGTTTCCTGATCTCCGCGTTCCTTCATCCACAGCGATCGAGAGAGATTCAGTCTGAGAGATTAGGGAGTATGAGTGTGATCGACATCCTCACCCGCGTGGATGCGATCTGTAAGAAGTACGACAAGTACGACATCGAGAAGCTCAACAATTCGAATGTCCCAGGACACGACGCTTTTGCTCGCCTCTATGCACAAGTTAACGAAGATATCGAAGCCGCCATCCAGGTTCAACTCTTCTGTAACTGCTGATCCAGTCTCCAGTATGATTTCATTTCAATTTCAGGGTTTATTAATCCAAAGTCGTGGTGCTGAAATTCGATTTATCCCTTTTTGGCGGATATAGAAAGCTGAGAGTGCTCGGACTGAGAAGACTAAGGCTTCTGCTGTAGCGATCAATGCGGAAATTAGGAGGACAAAAGCAAGGTTACTGGATGAGGTGCCCAAATTGCAGAGGTTGGCTACAAAGAAGGTAGGTTAGCTTCACTAAATGAGTTATGAATAAAAACTTGCTTTTGACAAATAAAAATCTGTGCTCTATGCCTTTGATTTTGTATGAGCTATTTTAACAATATTCGTATTAGGATTATATTGCAGTGTCAGATCTAGAATGGAATTACACTGGGGGCACACTAGACCAATGTTTTAAATACATCTGTCACAACATAGATCTTTAGCACCCATGTCATGACATTCTTTGACAAACCAATAAAAATATTTTCATAGAATTGCCAAAGTGTGTCACAAAGTTATTTGTGATGCCATTTTAGTGACTATAAGTGCATTTTAATGATAGAGGATGTATATGCAAGTAATCTATTTTGAAATCTAGTTAATTGTAAAGTCTAAAACAACTGCAAAGCTCTCACGTTGTGCAAAGTTCAAAATAAAATTCACACTTAGCTTCTTCTTTTCCTTTATAAGAAAGAGTATGTAACACAGAATTTTTGTCAATCTTCTATATAAATTTCACCCTCCATTTCTTCAGTTTTAACAAATTTTTAAAATTTCTTAAAGTGATAGTTCAATTTTCCTTCCAACATTTTCAATTCCTACTAGTAGTCATAAACTCTACAAATGGTAACAAAATATTCAATCGATAACCTCATGTAATAATAATATATTTAAATTAATGAAGAATGTAGATTTTAATAAAAATAGTTTCAACAAAGAAGCAAGGCTTTTAAGTTTGAGCCTTTCAATTTGAAGAGATGCAACCAGAGGGGGCTGATTATTATCTGAGTGGGGGAAACTCTTGGCGGTTCTTGTGATATGTCACTTTGTTAGTAATTTTTTATTTTTCTTAAGTAAAAATCTAATTAGGCAAGAATCCACTGGGGGCCATTGCCCCCATATGTAGTAGGTGCCTCCGCCCGTGTCATATCGTATGTCTGTATACACACTCACAAGTTGACAAGTATAAGCCCTACATATGGGCATTTTCTTCATCAATTAGAGATCAGGATAGGCACCCCTAGGAAATGGTTAAGTATCTGAGTCCTGCGACGATAAGATTTTGTTTGCCACACATGTGGATATTTTGATGAGATGATCAACGGGCATGGCCAAACATGTCCCATGTTTGTTGAGCTTTTATATCAGTTTCAACCAGCTATTCAGTAATGTTGCATTTTGAACTTGGAAACTGGTGAGAATGAGAAAGAAAAGAAGTTCAGAAAATCAATTCCTTAATTTGTAAGTCTAGAAAAATATTCTGGAAAAGCTTAATTTGTTAAAACATCATTTTTTTCTTAGAAATGAGTGGACAAGTTGGGAAAATAATCAGGCTTTAAGTTCAAATCACATGCCTCAACATTTATTTACCGTGGTAATGAATATCATATGGTACATGGGATACACATCGTGAGCCAAAAAAGCTGGGCTGTTGATACGGGCTACAAGAATTAATCTAAATGTGTATGAATCTCTCTTTTATATCAACGAACCGTATGAAAATCAGAGCGATACTATACTAGGCAATTTGTTTCTGCTTGTTTAACCTTAGTCCTTAAACAAGATAGGATAGGTCACGCAAACCCTTTTTGAGAATTCCTTCCAGTAATGTTGCGATTAGGTTAATTACTTACTGAAATTCTAATTTCTCCACACCAACAAGGCCGCAAGAGTGTGTGGATGAAGAGAATTTCAACGCCTAATTGCTTCTCACATCAAAGCTTCAGCTCTTAAATAGTTTCATATTTGTTCGTCCTTTTTTCATTCTAAACCAGTGTTTTTGGACCTCTAATATTTTCTCTCACTTTAAGAGAAAGTTGTTGAAAAAATAAAATGAACAGCTCTCAATCTTTCAGCTCTGTGCCTAACTGCGTGAGACCTCCCTTATCCATTTAAAAAAAAACTATTGCTGCTGCCTCTCATGCTATGTAATTTGCCTCTCAGTATTTTTATGTTTTTGTGGTTGACATCAATTTACAAATTGCCAGAGTGATACAAAAATACTTTGTATCATTCTAATTGGGCTGGGTTGGGTTCTGTATGATGGCAGATTAAAGGGCTCTCTGGAGAAGAACTTGCTGCCCGTAATGATATCGTCCTTGCATTGCCTGAAAGGATTAATGCCATCCCAGATGGTTCCTCTGCACCACCTAAGCAATCTGGAGGGTGGGGAACTTCCGGTTCTCGTACAGAAATTAAATTTGATTCAGGTAGTTGTTACTTTATGCCGCTTATTTGATAAGCTTCCAAAATGTGAAATGGGGTATTTTTCTTGGGTATTAGTCAAATTTATTCTCACATCTGGTGAGAAATAGTTTCAACACTATATTTGGTTCCATTTGCAACATTCAACTGTCAGATAACTTGCACATGCTCGAATTGTAGATGGTCAGTATGATGATGAATTTTTCAAGCAAACTGAAGAGTCTAGTCAATTCAGGCAAGAGTATGAAATGCGGAGAATGAAACAGGCACGAGGCGTTTTGGTTTCTTTAAGCAGTTCTTGTATGGATTTGGGAAAAAACTTTTGGGTTTCTTGATACTCTTCATACCTCTTCTGAATTATGTACGATATGGATATTGACCTTTTGCAGGACCAAGGCCTGGCAGTTATATCCGAAGGTCTAGATACCTTAAAGGATATGGCACACAACATGAATGAGGTCTACCAAATTTTGTTTTTGCATTATTGTTTTTTGTCTTGCCAAAGATACTGACTCCTTTCATCATGGCACACTTGCAGGAATTTGATAGACAAGTCCCACTAATGGATGAAATTGATGCTAAGGTTAGAAAATTTGTCATATATTGCACCAAACTGCAGCAACACAAGTCATTTTGACTTGCTATGAATTTGATTTGTCGCAGGTTGACAAGGCCGCATCTGACCTTAAGAACACCAATGTGAGGCTCAAGGATACAGTCCACCGGGTAAATGAGCTTCTTTCTGCAATCCAATGCTCTATGGTTATATTCTCTTATTTGCTCGTTGCAGCAATTCATATACTCAGTGCCCTCGTGTGATTTGTTTTACCATTTTCGGTTGTTTTCCAGATGCGTTCTAGTCGAAACTTTTGTATTGACATCGTTCTGCTATGTATAATACTTGGAATAGCAGCCTACTTGTACAAGTGAGTTCGCTGTTATTTCTCGAATAATTTATCACTCATTCACATAATTGACTGACTGGTGAACTGTTCTCCCTGTACAGTGTACTGAAGAAATAAACACTTGGAAACTCGTGTAATTTTCTATGATGATGGCTTCCGATTTTCTTGGTGTTTCTGATTTCTGAAAGTCTTGTGTTTTCTCACAGTAGAATTCATCCATATTGAATTCCCACTTTTCTTTTTTCTTTTCCTCTTTGTTTTCGTTTTGTTTCGAAGGACTTTTCAACCGAAGCATGTGTATTGGTATATTCTCTATGCTCACTTATACATGTGTATGTGATTTAACTGTTGGGCTTTGTGAGTTGTGTATTACCATTGTGTTGCGAGTATCAAGTAAATTGTGAGACAGTTTAAATTGCATTACCCTATGTCTGGCTGAACTTTATATAAACTCAATATTTGTGTTGTAAAAATTTGTAGTAGTTCATACTCCGCAATAAGCTTGGATATCGTCTTGATTCTGACTAGAAACGGTCCTTAAGACCGAACTAGTGATCTGATTGGTCTTTGGTTTTTAATTTTTTTGGCTATCTAATTATTACTACGTAAATTCTTTAGTGTCATTTGGTGTCTAGTATGTCGATATTTTTTTCGTTTTCCTTTTCATAATTCAATACGAATTTGTTGCCACCTTCAGGTTTGATGTCATCGCTTTTAGTTTCTAGAAGTAATGCCACCTTGTAGTTCAATCGAGCTTTTGGTGTCTATGGGCTTGGTCATGGTGTGATCAAAGTTTGAGAGATGACTATCTCCTTGTTTGTTCTCTTATTACTTTTTTTTTGCACAAATCACAAATTTCATTTCACTTCAAACTATTCAGAATTTACAGGCTTTTCAGATTACTACATCACTCTCTTGTAGTTAAAATATCTACTAAGATAAAAGTAAATATACTCAACAGTTTCTTCTTCCGTACAGTTTTTCAGGTGGCAAATTCTATTTCTCATCTTCCATATCCCATATACACAACTAGCCCAAATTGCCTTAATTTGCTGCTTATTCCTCCTCGAACTTGCTGCTTGTATTTTGTTCTCCAAGTCCCGCTAGCTGGTCATTACTACCTGCTGATGGTAAAACCTCGAGAAGCATGTTTGCGAGATTCTTTGAGCTATTCCACACGCCCACATCAGGTGTCTGTGTCTATCTGTTTCCTTATATTGGCCACATAAAGCACAATTCTGGTCGATATTAAGAAATCTGGCTAATCTCTCCTTTGTTTGTAATCTCCCCTTCATCAACAACCATGTCACAAACTGCATTTTGGGAGGGGTTATGGCATTCCAGACTGTATCTTTCTAATTTGGTATCATTCTTGTCCCCTGTAGCCAGTCATATCCTTCCCTCACAATATACTCTTTACCCTTGGGCATTCCCCTAAAATTCTCTCTCACTCTCACCATTTCTTTCCAGTAATGGCAGGCATCCAGTTTAGGTGTGTAATCCCAAAACTCTTCTTCTTTGATGTACTTGTTATGGATCCATTTCACCCATAATATATCCTTCTTCCCAGCCACATCCCAGTTCAGCTTCATAATTGCTGCCTTATTCCAATTCAGAATGTTTTTGATGCCAAGTCCCCCAAACTTCTTCTTCAAACACACTTCTTCCCAGTTAACCAATGGCACTTTAGCATACTTATGTGTACCTCCCCATAAGAAGTTTCTACATACTGCCATAACCTCCTTCATGACCTGTTTGGGTATAACAAATATTCTTGTCCAGAAAGAGATAATCCCCATCAGAACAGAATTGATAAGTCTTACCCTTGCCATATATGATAGATTTCTTGTCCCCCAAGCAGTAATTTTACTAGTCAATTTGTTTATTAAGGCATCACACTCATTCCTCTTCAGTTTTCCTGTTGTTATAGGGCTTCCAAGGTATGTGAATGGCAATTCCCCCAATCTCATACCAGTCTGTTTCAGAAGCTTCTCCTTGATCTGTTGGTTCACTCCCCCAAAAACAATTTGGGACTTAGTTATATTAATACTAAGCCCAGTTTCCAGTTGGAAATTATCCAAAACTTTCATAATACAGGCAGTAGACTTTTCATCAGCTCTACTCACTACTATTAAGTCATCAGCAAAACATAAATTCACTATTTTTAATCCAGCACACTTAGGGTGGAATTTAAACTTGTCTTGCTGTACAGCCTGTAACGCCCCGAAAGTAGGCCTAAAAGAATTAATTAATTTAAATATTAATTAATGACTGAAAAATAAAAGTTTTCAGAAAAATATTTTAATTATATCAAAATTTTAGTTTTTACAGTCTGATTCCAAATATGCGATCCGTTTTCAAAACGGAACAGTTTGGGCGAAAAAAAACGCTTACCGTTTTAGCCAGTTTATCAGTTACGGAGTAGGAGAATAAATTTGATTCCCCACACCCTCCAAATAACGTAGAGACATCCCCCCCATCCCTTCCAATCCTCAATCAAACCACATTAGGACCCCACTACCACATCCCTCCAATTTACTTTTCCTATATTATCACCCTACCACCACCATCATCATCCTCACACCTTATCACCATCATCCATCCCCTCCCCATCCCCTCTCTGTCGGCAGCAGCTCAGGAGGAAGAAAACCCAAAAATACTCCATTGTTAAGCCAAGAAGAAGAAGAAGGAGCAAGGAGAAACATCAAAGTTTCTAAAATCCTGAGTGAAAAACGCAGCAGCAACTTCTTCGTAAATTCTATAATTCTCTATTCTTTTTCTCAAATTATTTATTATACCAAAATCGTAGCCCCGGATGTTACGAATCCAACCTAACAAACGGTTCGTGATTCCGTTAAGTAACGAAGGAGATATCGCCAAAATACCGGGACTACGTCAGTGGTGACGAGTTCCACGGGTTGGCTATGTTTTCTTCATCATATCCATATCTTTCATTCAAAGTGCTTACCATAAAACTCATATTTTCTTTTCCAATCATTCTCTCTTGTTGGAAGATTCATTCAAGCAAAGAAAAGAGGAAGAACTTCAACTCCATTGGTGAAACAAGAAGAAGAAATCATCATA